TCTTCGAGGTATGTCGGGAACTATATTGAACCATCTTCGGTTCTCTTGAGACATCTTGGAGGCAATCTCGGAGGATCGGAGGCCCTCTTGGAGCTATATTGGATCATTTTGGAGCCCTGACCGCTCGCGCCCCCCACAAAAAAAACCTCATGGAGGGGTGGGGGATGACACCCCTCCCTGAAGGGAGGAAGGTTTCTGGAAAGGAAAACCAAGATATTGTTAATCGCCTACTGCCAGAGGGCTGGTTGAACTCCAGGGGCCAGATCCCGCTTGGTGGGATCTCATGAATGCTCCAGATCGTCTGCGCCGAGGCGACACACATCCCGTTCCAACTTTTCGCTGGGCGCACCAGCCGCGCGCAAAGCCGCCCTGAAGGGTGCGCTGCTCAGGGGAGCAACGCTGAAGCTCGCTGCCAGCAGCACGACGCTGGGTATTGGGGGCCCCAGGCTGCGGGGAGGCGGCTGCGTGGTGGGGGGTCTCCCGAGTGCACTCTCCGACGGCATGCGCCAGGCGGTGTTGGCCTCTCCCCCCCTCTCCCCTCCTCTACGGCAGGTGCCGTGCGGAGCGCGCAAGACAAGTGGAGTTTTCCGCTGATTCGTTCGAGCCCGTTGCGCGAGGCATCAAATGGAAGGAGTTGTCTGGGGCCCTGCTCGTCAAGAGGGGACCAAACCGCAGAGGAGGGCTCCGCCGGGCCTCTTCTCCCCCCCCCTTTGCGGCACGTGCTGTGCGGGCCTCCTCGGCTTGCCAGGGGGTCTGGGTGGTGCGGCGCTGTTTTGGGGGGGGGCGGGGGGGAGAGGGCTGGGCACGCCGGTGCGGCCCTGGGGCGAGTACGCTCGGGTACGCTCGGCGGGCAGGCTGCCCCGACGGGCCCCTCTCGTACAACGCGCGCCCACCACAAGCGTAGGTGACAGGGTTGGCGCGCGTTGACTTTTTCTCCACGTGCCGAACTACGAGAACAACGGCTCCTTCCTGATGCGTCCTCACCTTTTTTTGGAGAATCGCGCTCTCGCGCGGGACACCTTCACAATTGATGCAGGAATCGCGCTCTCGCGTGGGACTTCCTTGCAATTCATTTAGACGTAGCGCCTTCGACGCTCAGGAGTCGCGCTCTCCGTTTGACCATTCTCACGATTGGCTTGGGAATCGTGCTGTCGCTTGGGACCTTGCGATTCACTCAGGACGCACGCTTCAGCAACCCGCTTGCTCGACCTGGCAGCTTGGGCCCGCCTTCCCGACCCGCCCGTCGGGGTCTACCCGCCCGATGGGCCTGTCTGATTATGCCGCGTGTTTTCTGCTCCTTGCCCCCCCTCCTGCTAATCCCTCTCGTGCTGCATCCTTCTCCTTCCCCTTCCAGCCGACCTCTCTTCCCTTGTTTTAGGGGCTGCACCAAGTACGCGTGGCAGGTAACGAAGATACGTATGCCCCAAAGGGTGTACGTCCGAAGACGAATCTTGCGGGTATCGAGGACTTGGGACATGCGTGTTGACAGGCACTCGACCAGATAGGAGCTAACAGTCTTAACATGATGGTAGATCTATCACTTCTAAAGAACAAATCTGCTTGATCCCCTGGTGCCCATGGTGTTCTTCCAATTAAAGTGCTCCTCCCAGGGCTCGCACCCTGTCTTTTGCAAAGGGTTGTCTTCCTCGTCAGATTACGCCCTTGGCCAGCAGTTTACAACAATAGCGGCTCCGGCCTGGTACTTCCGCACATATTATTTCAAGAACGCGCTCTCGCGCGGGTCTTCCTGGCAATTCATTTACACGCCGCGCCTTCGACGCTCAGGAATCGCGCTCTCGCTTTGGCTTTTCTGCCGATTTGCAATTGGAATCGCGCTATCGCTTGGGACTTTCTCGCGATTCATGCAGGACGCACGCTTCAGCAACCCGCCTGCTCGACCTGGCCGCGTCTGCCCGCCTTCCCGACCCGCTAGGGTCTACCCGCCCGATGCGCCTGTCTGGTTCTGCCACGTGCTTTCTGCTCCTATCCCCTCTCCTGCTAATCTCTCTCGTTTTCTATTCTTTTTCCTCCTCCTTTCATCCGTCTTTTTTCCTTTGCTTTGGGGCTGCACCAATTACACGTTGCAGGTGAGGGCGATGTACCCACAAACAGGTACGATCGAAGACGACGAGGGCAGGTATCGAGGATTTGGGACATACGCGTTGACTGGCACGCGAGGTGGTGAGAACTAACAGTCTTAACATGATTGCGGTTGAATTATAGAAAGAACAGTTATGATGGATCCTCCTTCGGTGTTCATTGTGTTGTTCCAATTAAAATGCTTCTCCCGGGGCTCGCACCCTGCTTGTCACACGGAAGGTCTTGAAATTCAGATTGCGGCATTGGCCCCCGACTTACAGCAAAAACTGTATTCAATATTGCGTTCTCACGCGGGCCTTCCTTACAATGCATGTAGAAATAGCGCTTTCGCGTGGTATTTGCTTGCATTGTATTCAAACGCCGCCGTGCCCCAAGTACTCCAGACTTACGCTCTCGCTTTGGATGCCCTCAAGGTTCAATTCGGAATCGCGAGATCGCTCGACACCTCCCCGCAAGTCCTGCATAAGTCACGTGTTTTTTTCTGTTCCCAGCCCCCCTCTTAACTTTTCTCATGCTCCATCCTTATTCCCCCCCTGCCCCTTCCTTCCATCCGTCCTCTCTTCCCTTGTGTTAGGGGCTGCGCCACATACACGTGACAGGTAAGGACGATATGCCCCAAAGCAGGTACTATCGAAGACGAAGAGGGCGGGTATCGAGGGTTTGGGATAGACGTGTTGAATGGCACCAGAGCAGGTACGAGCGAATAGTATTGAACTGAGCGGTGTTGTTGTTGCTGACTGTGGTGATGGTGCTGCAGTTGCTGATGTTACTGCTGCTGCTGATGATGATAGTTAACGATGATGGTGATGATGCTGATGATGACGCTTATGACGATGATGCTACTGATGATGATGGTGATGATGCTGATGCTGCTGATGATGATAGTGACGATGACGATGGCGATGACGACGAAGGTGACGACGACGGTGACGACGAAGACGGTGATGATGACGACGGTGATAACGATGATGGTGATGGTGATGGTGATGGTGATGGTGATGATGCCGCTGATGATGATGCTGTTGATGATGCTGCTGATGATCATATTGGTGGGGATGCTGATGATTATGGTGGTCGTGATGATGATAACGATGATGACGACGACGCTGATGATACTGATGATGAAGATGATGATGCTGATGCTGATGCTGATGCTGATGATGCTGATGCTGCTGATGATGATGCTGATGATAATGGTGATGGTGATGATACTGGTGGATGTGATGATGCTGATTACTATGATGATGATGATGATGATGATGATGATGATGATGATGATGATGATGATGATGATGATGATGATGATGATGATGATGTTAATGATGATGGGGATACGGAAAACCAGGAGTAGGAGGACTGACCAATATGAGGAACCTAGTAAGGATGAATCTGATGATGTGGATGATGAGGAGGATGAGGAGGTACGGGCGGATGTGCATAAAGGGGATGTGAAGGGAGAGGCGCCCTTGGAGGGGCAGGGATGGGTAGCGCAGGATTGGTAGGCAGTTGTGTCACCTCCGCGCGAGACCCCCGCCCTTGCGCGTGCACGCGCAGCGAGGCGTCACAGTTATCGCGGAGTGAGACACCCAACCAGTTCCGGGGCGAGACCCGCAAAGGCCACGTGGGTGCGTCGCCCCTGCCGCGAGACACCCCCACGAGATCCCCGTCGTCACGCGTGCCTAGTCGTGCAGCGTGCAGCGAGTCGCCATTCCATTCGCTGAGCGAGACCCCCGCGAATGCTACGCACGACGACTTCCTTTGAAGGCAGCCGACCGGGGGTAAGAGGCGGAGCATAGTTCTCCCCTCTGGCGCAGGCCATGTGCGTGAGCGCACGCTTGACCATCCTACCCCCAACAGTCCTGATGAGGGGGTGGGATGCGTGCGCCCGACAAGCAAGTCCCTTCCTCCTCCTCCTCCTTCTCCCTCCCTGCTTTCTCTCCCCCCCATCCCTCCCCCCTGCCTGTCTCCATTCCCCCCCCTCCTCCCTCCTCGTCCCGTCACCTTCCTCGGGGTCCCTCTCTTTGAGCATCTCATTCCAAAGACTCCCCCAGGGAGTTCCTGCATCCGTGACGCTGACCGCCAGGGGACCGCTCGGAAACCGCCTGAGGTAACTACTTTTCGTGCTGGGCCCCCCAGGGCCTGCCACGCGAACGCTAACAGAACAATCGAAACCTGTTTCCGGAGATTTCAGCACGCCTCTGGCCAGTTGGGCCAGCGAGTTCTTGCCTTCATGAGCGCGTGCGCGTCGCTAGCGCGGGGGCGGCCCCGAGGTGAAGGGCAACATCGCGCACGCCAATTGCGCGGCTGGCGTCACTGGGCTCATCAAGGCACCTCGTGCAGCTGCCAGCGCCAGTTGTCGCAGTCGCCGCCTCCGCTGTCGCCGCACCTCCTCCTCTTCAGAAGAGAGCAGCGGCACAAGTATCGTAAACTTTTTGGAGTTTCGCGCGGATTACTGGGGTCGGCGCCAGACACCCCTGGCAGCGCATCTGGCGCCGCCATTGGCGTGCTTCGCGGGTCAGGGGGAGAGGTTTCCCGCGCCGAGTCAAGAAATCAGCGCGGACCTCCAGCTGTTGATGTCTGTGTTTCTTGTATTATTATTTTCTTGATTCTCCACTTCCTTCAGCCCGCGGCGCGGCCTGGCACCGCTGCTCTGGTGCCGTTGCTCTAATAGTGGGCCACGCTGGCAGGGATTCCGCGCCAGGGTCGGGGCTTTCGAGGCACCGCTGCTTGCTTTCTGTGCCTGGTCTTCGGCCCTTTGCGGGGAGCCGAGTCTGAGTTCCGGCCCAGGGACGGAGTTTTGGGCTCGACGCGTTTGGCCCCAGATGCCAGTGCGGCGCCCGAGTAGAAGGGAGAAGTATAGAGGGGGGGTGGGGAGAGGAGAAGGGAGCGAGACATAAAGAAAGCAATGCATACGCGTGTGTGTATAGAGAGAGAGAGAGAGAGAGAGAGGGAGAGAGAGAGAGAGAGAGAAGGCAGGCCATTGGTACACAGCCGTATCAGGCTCATCAGCTTTGAGAGTAGCATTGTGGCGGGCGTTCCAAGATGCGCTCGCCGAACAGTCTCAGATACCAGATTTCGTTCACGCCAGTCTTCTTTGGGATGTGGAGGGCTTCTACGATTCGCTATCGTGGGAGTTTGTACTGGACAGAGCCATGGGACTAGGTTCTCCTGTTATTTACTTAGCGCTGGAACTGCAGATGCACATGTCGGCCAGGTTCCTTCGAGATGAAGGCTGCTTTTCAAGTGCAATACAGCCCAGCCTCTCGCTCATCCCATGATCGACAGGTGCTGTTGACCTGGGGAGGTGTGCGATCTATTTTGTATGCGAGGTTCTAGCCAGAAGCCCACCCCCATCCCCTTCCCTTGCCACCTGGGTGGATGGCATTATCCAGAGGTGCGAGGGACCTAGGCAGATATTAATCAGCATTGTTTTCAACGCAGGCAAGCAGCTGTGCCAGGGCTTAGGCAATGTTGAGCTCAGGATGGCTAGCAAGTCATGCATCATCTCGTCATGCCCAAGGACGGCCCAGCAGTTAGGCATAATGTTCGCATCTGTAAATATCAGTATCCAGGCCAAGACGTGTGCACCCGACCTTGGATTAGATAGGGGAAGAGCGGCCTCAAGCAGGCCAAAGCAGGCAGCAAGGCGAGTAGCAGCATGTTTTAAGGGCAGCAAGCTGTCCAGATTTGCGGGAGGTGCTAGGAAACACAGGGAGCTGTCCAAGAGCATGGTGTCGGTCTCGGCTTTCGCGCAGTCTCGTTTTTCGGACCAAGTGTGCGGCACAGCTCCCAGTGTTCTCATCAAGTGGAGAAGGGCTCTGGCAGACCTTTGCAGTAGAAAGAATAATGGCAGATGCCTTACCACTTTGCTTGCCCTTGGGTTTGGCCAAAAAGACCCAGCTTTCACGGCGGTCTTTGATGTAGTCAAACTGTGGTTCGGAATCCCAGGGGATCCCAAAATCCAGCCAGAGAGAGTGCAGCGTTGCTGGGGACAAATTTTGACCAGGCTCAGTAAAGCCAGCCCCAAGGCCAGATGGAGGAGGGTTAGTTCCCTAATGGCGGCACCAATATGCACGGTGCTCGATTTAACATGGGGCCCTGAAGGACCGTGGCGATGGCACAGCGGCATCGGCGAAACCTTCGAGGCCCCTGTGTCCCTTTTAGGCCAAAGTCCCATGGACACCAAGCTCCCTTTTTATTGCATCACAGGTCGCATAAGTAGGAAGCTCTGGCCTGGAGCAGCTCGCAACTCCTGGATGTGAGAGGGCTTGCAGGCAGTACCAGGCATGACAGGGCCGCGTAGACAGTGCAAGGCAACGATCAGTAGAGGAGACTTTCAGTTTAAAGGGAAACTGCAGTGTGTCATGGCAGGCGCCACTTGGTGCAGACAACGGCTTTGAGTATGGAATGATAGATGACCCAACGTGTCCGCGTTGCGGGTCAGCACCAGAGACGAACAAGCATAGATGTTGGGAGTGCCCAGTTAACGCAGCGTTTCAAACAGTCTCGGGTCAGCTAACAAACAAAGCCATTGCTGAAGCAGGCACGTTACCCTGCCTTTGGATCAGAGGTGTAGTTCCTCCCTCCACGTGGACGAATGTCCCAGAGCCCCCTGGAGAAGCCATCAGTTACGTTTTTGGCTAGTCGAGCCACCAGATTTTTGGCGAACAGCGGGTCACTTTTGGAGGGGGGAGACGCTAGCGGAGGCGCTCACCAGGATCCAAGGCTAAGGAGAGTGGCGTGGGCTGTTGCTATCCTAGGAGGTTTCCGGGATGATGGGGGCTACGACGTTGGGGGGGGGATGTTCCAGTTTGTCAATCGTGGTGGGGCCACGGCTCAGATCGAGTTTGCAGCCACAGTTTTGCCGCTGGCGAGTCACTGACTCAGCATATGTCACGCGTGGAGTTGACAAGGTGAGGCGAGGCACGCTCCCCGAGACCCACGTTGATGTTTGGAAACGTTTTCAGGCCGTGCTTCTTGAGAACCCGACTCCAAGAATCCGAGTGGTTTGAATCGAGAGGTCACCTCAAGGCTGAGGAGGCTGTTGCCAAGAACGTCGAGACAACGTATTTTTTTCGCCAGCGCTGTGGCAGACAAGAGAGATGAGGTCTTGGGCCAGGAGCTGCGAGTTTCGTATGCTGGCATATGTAGAATTGAGATGTCCACGGCGATCGGGTTTGCATTCAGGAAGCACTTAGCCAGAGTTTTGAGTATCATCATGGAAACAAGTCCCAAACATGTGCCCAGCGGCAGAGACACTGCCATTGCTAGACAAACGAAGGAGAAGAGCTGCAGCTTGACAGCTCATCACGGAGTGCGGTTTCTTGGGCTCCAGAGTTAGATGCACGGGGTGTGGAGGATCAGCGCCGCGGAGAGAGTTGGACGATTTTCCGACACACC